AAGGTGCCTCTCCCATGACTTGGGAGCAGGTCTTGGCCTCCTTCATGAGAGTCTAGTGCTGTGTCCTGTCCCATGATCTGGACCGTGGGACTATCTGTCTTGGCATCCTAACTGCAGTTTCAATGAGGCAGAGGGCAGAGACCAAGATCAGAGGGGCTCATTATACCCCTGGCTAGAGAACCCAGCGACTGACATGAAAGCAGCTTGGGGCTGGCTGGACACAGGTGCTAGGTTCAGCTTTTCTAGGCGAAGCTTTCATCACAGAACAGTGCTGTCTCCACCTGGCCATAGATGCCGTGCCCTGATTCGGGCCTGGATAGGCTGCCTGTGTCCTTCCCACTGATCTGCCCAAGAATGAGGACCACCCAACACTTTCACTCCCTCTCCAAGCCTTGATGGGACCTCCCACTTACTTTAGGCCTCATGTGCTTTGAAGAAGCTTTGAGAGCCAATGTGGTGTCTTCCATGGGTCTCCTCTCTTTGCTGCAAGTAATCAGCCCCATGTGTTCTCTTAAACTGAGAATTGCACCTGGGCAATTCGTTTCCTAAGGTGGTCTCTGCTGCTAGTTAAGAACCCAGAGCACCCCTCCGTGAGGCTTCAGTGGCCTCAGAAACCAGAGGGTCCAGATCAGGGCTTGCTTGGGCCCTCTGCTACCAACTGCTCAGCCCTGCTTTAGCTCCCGCCACTTGTGGCAAACAACCTTGTTTCCTTACAGATTCCAGCATGTGACTTTGGTGCCCTGTTACTTGTGAAAAATCTTGTCTTTGATGTAGTCAAAAAAATTCATGTAGTTAACTTAAAAAATACCTAACTCACAAGAAAGCCAACTGTATGTCTTGTGATGGGACAGTTCATAATGTAGTTCTAGACCACTTTGCAAATTGTTCTTGTCACCAGATACGTTCAGACACTGCTGTGCAATTGTGGGGGAGGGTAGGGGGAAAGATGAGAGGAGATACTTACTGGTCTTTTTGTTTTATACCTCCCCAAGAGGGGACAGTCTGGCCAGCTTGCTCCAGTAATGCAATAAAGACATTGCAATAAAGCAATCTTTTTGTCTTCATGCTGTGAAGGGGTGGGCTGGGGCAGAGTGGAGGTCAAGAGAGAAGAGGAGTACTCGGGTGTTGAATAGCCCTTGAAACTTTAAAACCTTCTCTCCGGTAAGCAAGCACCGAAAGACCTAGTACTAGGGTTGAACGGGGGCAACAAGAGGCTCTCTTCTTCCTGGGAGAGGACGTTGACTCCAACTAGGCATGCCAGAGTCCTGTCCACTGGACAAAGGACACAGGGAGTCTCAGATAGTGACTCTGAGAAAACTAAATCTGAAAGCCATTTCCTCCACACCTCACCACCTACTCGTAATAAGCCCAGTTTATTGGTTCTTACATATTTCTGCCCAGAATTAAAAGTGTTTCCACATTCTACTCTGGGGAGGGGGAAATGGGCCCAGCTTTAGTCTGTCATCTTGTTGCCCCCAGGCCCTTGTCGTCACCTGCACATTGCTGAGGTTCCATTATATTCTGGGAATGTAATGAGCAAACATGATAACCTCTTGTTGCATAGGACATTGCAGCTCTCATCCAAGTCTCAGGCCCCACCCATGTGTGCTCAATTACAAATAGATTGAGCAGGGAACAGTCTGTTGTTGTAAGTGACCTTGCCTATGTCTTTTCTCCCCACTACATTTTAGATGATCACAGCCTCCCCCAAGACCTCTGCTACAACTATGGATGATTTCTCCTAACTCAGAGTTGTTCCCACTTCTGTGTTTAGGATGCTCAAATTCCTTTCTTCTTCCCAGTTCTTTCTTCTGAACTCTACCTGCCAGCTGGATGTTTCCACTGGGCTCTGAGGTTTAAACTTGTTTACTTGGGGCTGGGCATGGTGGCTCACACCTGTAATCCCAACACTTTGGGAGGCTGAGGTGGGTGGATCACCTGATGTCAGGAGTTCAAGACCAGCCTGGCCAATGCTGTGAAACCCCATCTCTACTAAAAGTACAAAGTTAGCCAGGCGTGGTAGCATGCACCTGTAATCACAGCTACTCGGGAGGCTTGAAGCACAAGAACTGCTTGAATCCGGGATGCACAAGTTGCAGTGAGCCGAGGCTGCCCCACTGCACTCCAGCCTGAGCAACAGTGAGACTCCATCTCAAAAAAACAAAACAAAACAAAAAACTTTTTACTTGGCAGAAAAAGTATGGTTGGCTATTAATTCCCTTACCTTCCTACTACCGAACCTACAAACATATCTATATCTACATAACTATTCTCCCTCCCACCTGTTAAATTACAAAAGTACCTTCCAGCTAAAGTCAATTTACTTCACCTGTATTTTGGAATCTTATTTTCTTCCACCTCAGGAATCTCCCAAGATTAATGATCGATTCTTTCTCTACTTCAACTAGATCATCCCCATTGACATCTAAATATGGTTGTTTCTCATTCTACTCACCCAATCCCTACTAAATCATCTCATACCCCTTTATCTCTTTTCTCCTCTTCAAAGCCAAGCCTTTGGAGAGAGCTGACTAAATGTCCTAATTCCTCACCTCAGCATTTCAGTACTGGTTCCACCACTGTTTGAAACTGCTTTTCTTGATGTCTTCAATAACCATCACTGTTAACTATCTTCTCCATGGAAAGGTCCTTCATGGACCCTCTTAAGACTCAATGTCATATTCTGCGACATCTGACTGTTCCTTTTACATCTGGATTCCTTCAGCTCTCAAGGCCATTTTATCTGGCAGTTTTATCCACAGCCATGAATCCACCTACCATCTCTAGGCCGATTACGTTTGTTTCACTTGCCCAGACCTCCATTGGAAGCTACGTCATATTTAGCATATGGAATGCAGCACTGAACTACTCAGCCCTGGTTCTCTTCCTTCTTTCTTCAGTGAATGGAAATACATTTTATCTGGTTATGTAACTCAGAAATGTAGTTAGTCATCCTTGATAGCCTTCTGCTTCATATCTACCTAAAGTCCTTCACCAAGTATCAATCAAAACACCACTTTAACTTCACTACCATCTGCACTCTTAATCCTAGAAGGCTCCCTTCTTCCATTCTTGTCCCCCTAAAATCCATTCTCATTATAGCAACCAGTCATCTTTTCAAAATACAAATCTGAACCTATGTAAAACATTAAATAAGTCTCTGCTGTCTTAGGGTGAACTACAAAATAAGATGGTCTGGCTTCTCCCTGATTCAGGATCTCATTCCCCACCTTCAACTTCTTTTCACTGGCTCTCTCCCCTCTGCTAGTGCCAGTATCTCGGGCCTTTTTTCTTTCTCATTCTGCGCATGTTCCCTGAGCAGTCCTCATCTCCTGTGACTTTAACTGCCCTCGACTTCCTGATGGCTCCCAAATCTAGGTGTCACAGCTCCCCACCCTTTCCTTCCTTACCTCCTCACTGTTGCTGTCCTAGTTCAGACCACCAAAATGGGATCACTACATGATTCTCTGCGGTGCACTCACTCCACTCAAGCCTTTCTATACCACAGCCAGAGTGGTCTTCCTAAAACAAATACCACTTAACTCTTCACTACCCTCAGGATAAAACCACCAGTTTCTCAAGGGGAACATCACTGACACTTGGGGCAGTTGCCTGATGTGGTACAGGATGTTTGATGTTTAGCATCGCTGTACTCCCTCCTCCCATTCCCATTTCCAACCCTCTAGGAGGGCAGTTCCCAACGTCCTTTTCACCTGTGGTGTGGTGCTTCTGAGCAGATCCTTACATGCATGGGGCACTCACTCCTTCAGCCATGCCCCTGCCATCTTCAAGCTCACAACCTGTGACCTGTGTGCCCAGGTCCCAGTGCATTAGCCCAGGGTCTGCTGTGAATGAATGAAGGAATATGTGAAGAGAGGACTAGAAGGCTGAGGGGCCAAATAGCGGAATAGGCTCTGCCACTGTGGATACGGCACGCCCTCTGGTGGCCACAGCCTTCACAGACAATGGCCCAGAGGGATTTTCATCTCCAGGCCTCCTAACACCTCTTCTTCAGACCTAGGCACTGGTTTGTGAGATGATCAGTGCAATAACCACTGCAAGACAGTTTCTCAAGTCCTCCATCACTATGGAGATACTCAAAGCCTTGGTACTCTACCAAGCCCCACTGTCTGCCCTGTGATGCCACCTCCTGACTCCTCTGGCACTGGTCCCATTTATGCCTTCCCCTTCCTCCTACACTATCCATCAAATGAAGTTCTTCTCAGTGAGGGATGCACATGATGTCCACCGCTAGTGCTGAGGCCTACCTGCAACAGCCCAGGAAGGGCTTATTACTAAATACAATTGGCAGCTTTCTGTTTTCATCTCACCCTCATCTCTGCATTTTATCAAGTAACTTCTCCATTTTAAAACCCTTTCCTCCCATGGACTTTATGACTCTCTTCTGGCTGCTGCTTCTGTCTTTTCTCTTGTATCTCAAATACACCCAAAGTTAAACTCTGCCTCCTCTCATCTCTTCCTCTCCTCATTTCCTGGCTGAGGCACTCCAAGTTAGGAGACACATATAAGTTCTGGAACAAGGGAGACCTAGGTTCTAACTCCAGTTGTACCCAAGCTGTATTACCATGGGCATGAAAGCCTGAGTTCCCTTATCTATAAAGAAGGAATTTTAGTTGCTACATGATATTTTCTGGTTCCCTATCACTTTCACAAAGTCAAATCTCCTAGACGACCATTAGACATAGCCCTTGCCTCACTTGCCAGACCCATTTCTACTTTGAATTGTCTTTGGTTCCTTCCTAAACTTTGTCTGGAGATCCTTTCTTAAGCCAACCTCCACTCTTCCACTCCCAGCAAACTACTACCTATCATCTATTCATGTTTGAGCTCAAATGTCACAGTCTTTGGGAAGTCAAGATGGGTTAGGTGGCCCTCCCCGATGGTGGAAACTATTTTTTTCACCACTATATTCTCAGCAGCAACACAGGACCTAGTTACATGTGGATTGACCAAAGGAAAGCAAGCAAAAGACATAAAGATGGTTTCCAGGAGCATATATTACACAGGTCTGAGTGCAAGAAATGGCAAACAGCTGTTATGTTTGCTTTAAAAACTCATCTGGTGCCAATGCCAAATCCTGATGTTTTTGATGGCCCCCTGGTTCTTGGCCCCTCCAGAGGAGGCTGGGCTCAGACTCCTGGGTGAGGGGGCAGCCTCGGCATGGAACATCCTGCCGTCTGTCACCTGAGGCATCAGGCACTTGGGTGATGCTCAGGGCTGGATCCTCTTTCACTATTTGTGCACACTCAGACTCCCATAGCCAGCCTTGGCTGGGATCCTCACAAGGGGGATGGGTCAGTCTGGGGGCACTAGGTGGCTGTGTCTTGCCCTGCTCCCTGGGAGACAGGTTCTTAGGGTGGGCTGGAGTTGTGGTTTCCAAATCCTGGAGCTTGGCTAGCCCACCTGCCATGGTTGCCCTTCTGCTTGGGGATGCCCTGTCTGGGCCCTCAATATGGAATTTCCAGGACCATGTGCCCAGCTTCCCAGAGGTGGAGGTGGGAGGAGAGCGGCTGCTGGTGGGGGCGAGTCCTGAAGAGCTGGGGGAAAGTGCTGTTAGTGCCTGGGTGTGGAGGCCCTGAGCCTTCCAGCAACCTTCAGAAAGGATGGGGTCTGTAGCTCCAGACTTACTCAGGTTGGGGTCTGGTGAGGAGGTGCTGGCAGCCTCCTCAACAGTTTGTGGGCTCCTGAGCCTCCTCTGGGGGCCACTGGGACCTTCCATTTTGGGAGGCCCCAGTGTAATCCCGGTCAATAGGCCTGGGACCACTGGGCCCGGACTCCTGGGGACTCTGGACGAGAAAGTATCCTCTTCCCCACCCTCTTCTGCTCCTCTGGGGGCCACACTCTGGCTCACTTCTGGGTGAGGTGCCACACTCAGCTCCTGTGCACCCTGGCTGTTCTCAGGCCCCTCCTCCATGTCATCCTCTGAGGAGTCCACCTCACGGATGGCTTCTTGCTTCTGCAGTGACTCTCGTCGTTCGGCTCGGTCCTGTCGGAGAGTGCCTAGGGCCCGTGAAGGAGCAGGCTGCAGCAGCACCCCTTTCCCTGGCAGGGCTCCCTTGCCAGAAAGCACACCCCTGGCTCCAACTGCCTCCAGAGGGCTGACTTCCCTAGGCGGCAGTTCCTTCTTTAGCTCAGAGTGGGGCAGGTCAAGGCTGTGCTTGCGAGAAGTGGCTAGCTTCTTCTCGGAAGCGGCCAGTGCTGCTGCCAGTTTCTCAGCTGACTGCACCCTCTTGAGTAGTGGTGAACGGGGTGGCTCCGCACTCTTGGGCCGTGAGAGTTGCCTGCCTAGGGGAGGTGACAAGTGAAGCTTTGTGGGAAAGGCCTGGGCTACATGGCCAGACAGGGGTGATGGGGACCGCTGAGGTGAAGCTGCTGGGGGTGGGGGAGAAGGGGTGTGGGCTAGTGGTGACAGTGGGATGCTGCCTGCTGACTTGCGCCGTGGAGAGCGGTACTGGCGCTGGAGCTTGGGTGCCAGACCGTGGAGGGAGCTAGGCCGTGTATGCCCAGAGCCGGCTGGGGAACCGGGCACGCTGGAGCTGGGGGAGCTGCTCTGTGATGAATTCCCCCCGACTTTGTACAAAGAGACAGACAGACAGACAGACAGACAGACAGACAGACAGACAGACAAAAGCAGAGCAGTGTTAGCTGTTAGAAGTGACTGAAGGGCAAGACAGGGCTTAGCCCTGTGATGTCCCAGAAACCAAGCTACCCGCTTTCCCATCAATTAATTCCTCCCTGAGACTGCAGGATCTTCCAGGGGGTGGGCTGAAAGAAAGATTCTGAGTGGGATCTGTGAGGGGCATATAGGGCCTAGGAACTTGCCTATTTCTCAGGGGTTGTCTCTGATTTGCAGGGAGCTCTTCATACCTGAATGCACAGCATCGGGGGTCACACGGTAGGCTTGAGTGGGAGATCGGGGGGAAAGGCTGTGGCTGTGTGTAGGAGAGCCTGGCCCACTCTCCCCTGATGACAAGGAACGGTTAAGGGAAGAAAGGCTGCGGCTGGTGTGGAGCAGGGATGCTTGCTTGGTGATCTTGCGAAACAGGGAACTCCTTTTTCTGCTGTGGGGATAAGGGTCAAAGGCAGAGTTGGTGCAGAGAGCACAGCACACACAGGGCCAAGGCACCTGGAATGTACAGCATTCATGCGGCCCAGAGTAGACCCTATGGACTGTGCCTGGCTCACCTTTCTTGCCCATCCTTGCCGCGGCTCCTCTTGCTCCTTCGGGCCATCTTGGCCTTGTAGCTGCCCTTCCTAGCTGGCCCCACTTTAATGGATGTGTTCTCCAGGGGAGTTGTTGAAATAGCCACCTTGTTTCCACTCTGGGGAGCACAGCATGAGGCCTAGGCTAAGCTGGAGGCCATATTCTTGCCCCTCCCTTCTGGATGGCTATGCCACAGCTCCAGCTTTTGCCTCTGCACCAACACATCTGAACTACAGGCCTATATTCTGTCTTCACAGATGAGGAATGGCTCCTATTGGAGCCCAAGTGGTTTAAGAGTGAGAAGGTAGAGAACAGGCTAACCCGTCCCATTCTGCAGCCCTACCCACAGCTCAGAAGGATCCCTGGGCCTAAGAAAGTGAGGGTGCTACCTTGTGGAGAAAACTCTTGTGCCACATTCAAGTTCTGTGTGTACATTCATCTTTTTTTTTTGAGATGGAGTCTGGCTCTGTTGCCCAGGCTGGAGTGTAGTTGCACGATCTTGGCTCACTGCAACCTCCACCTCCTGGGTTCAAGGGATTCTCCTGCCTCAGCCTCCCAAGTAGCTGGCATTACAGGCACCCGCTGCCATGCCCAGCTAATTTTATATTTTTAGTAGAGATGGGGTTTCACTGTATTGGCCAGGCTAGTTTTGAACTCCTGACCTCGTGATCCACCTGCCTCAGCCTCCCAAAGTGCTGGGATTACAAGCGTGAGCCACTGCACCAGCATTTTTTTTTTGAGATGAAGTTTTGTTCTGTCACCCAGGCTAGAATGCAGTGGCACGATCTCGGCTAACAGCAAACTCTGCCTCCTAGGTTCAAGCGATTCTCCTGCCTCAGCCTCCCAAGTAGCTGGGATTACAAGTACCCACCACCATACCTGGCTTTTTTGCATTTTTAGTAGAGACAGAGTTTTGCTATGTTGGCCACACTGGTCTTGAATTCCTAACCTCAGGTGATCCATCTGCCTCGGCCTCCCAAAGTGCTGGGATTACAGGTGTGAGTGACCACACCCAGCCATTTTTTTTTTTAATTTTAATTTTTAGTAGAGGCAGGGTTTCACTATGTTGGCCAGGCTGGTCTCGAACTTCTGGCCTCAAGTAATCCACATACCTCAGCCTCCCAAAGTGTTGGCATTAGAGGTATGAGTCACTGCGCCTAGCCTGTATCTACATCCATAGTGTAGATGTGTGTGCACCCAACTCACCCACTACCTTACGGCTGTCACAGACTCACAGACTGAGGTCATTCAGGGACCATGCAGGCAGCAAACCCAGCACTAACCTTCAGGATCAGCTCCACCACCTCCGTGTGCACCAGCCCATGCACAGTTTCCCCATTGACATGGGTGATGAGGTCACCTTGACGAAGTCCTGCCTCGCTGGCTGGACCTCCGTCCTCCACGTGCTGCACCAGGAAGAGAACAGTACTCACACTGGAGCCTGAACATGAAGTACAGGGCCTGGTTCTGTGTATTAAGCTGTGACCCCCCTTCAGCACCACCCTTTGACCCCAGAGCAGGGACAGAAGAGGAAGCTGGAAGGGTGATGAAGCTGGGAGACAGCAGCTCTGGATGGTCAGACATACCCACACCATGTGGTGCACGGTGTAGACGTCGGAGTCACCCATGTAGACACGAATGGCCCGCAGGGTGAAGCCATACTTCTTGCCAGCTCGGTGGATGATGATGGGGGGCCTCACACTGCCAAGGGCTGGCAAGAAGTCCCTGCTTGGAGAAGAGTCCCGGGATGATGGGTTGGATGACTGAGAATGTGGGGACATGGGGCTGGCCAACGGGGAGCAGGTGTGGTGTTCTGGAGAAGGAGAAGCCAGGACTTAGTGGGTCAGAGGGCCTTGGCCTCGTCATGCTCCCAGCGTGGCCCCTGGTCCAGTTTGTTGATTTCAGCACAACTCTTGTCACAGACAGAACCTGAGCCCAGGTCCATTTTCCTCATAGCCCCTGACCTGTGAAGCCCTCTCACATATCCAGCCCTGAGATGAGGCGATGAAGAAAGCATTTATGTGTGTATCAGGGACTATACAAGCTCATCACACATGTTTAAATGTCACAATTAACCTATGAGCTGGCCACTATTATGTCCACATTTTTGGATGAGAAACTTGAGGCTTAGAGGAGTTAAGCAACTGGCTCAAGCTCAAGAGCCCTTTAGTGATGAAGCCAGGATCTGAGTATGAGCTCTTTGCCCCAAAGCCTGCACTTGACATGGCGCTATCCTGCCTTCTGGCACATGTATACACAACCCCAGACACCAATACACCCCTTCAGGGACCACAGTCTCTTAGATCCCTGCTTAACACACATACACACCTGTCATGTGCAGAACCCTGTCACAGGCCTAGAGATTCCAAGGCCCTTCCTGTGAGTTTTATCCCAGCTCCCCAGGGGCCTCACCCAAAGGAATGAGGAGTGAGAGGGCTGTGGCTGAGGCAGACTTGATCACTTTGTTGATAGGGCGAGCGGTGCGCTTCTCTGTAGAGTCCCCAGAGAGCAGCCGGTGGCGGGCCCTACGCACAGCCAGGTCACTGATGGCCTTGGCCGTGGCTCCTTCAGACAGCTGCGGGGTCCCATGGCCTCGGGTCTCCGTAGCTGTGGGCCCAAGTGAGCAGTGAGACCCATGATGCCGCAGAGACTCCTGCCCTGCAGTATCCTCTAACTTAGGTCTTTTGGCAGCCCACCGGGCCATACCTGGACTGGAACCACCGTTTCGTCCAACAGCTTCCTCATCCAGCTTCAGCCGCTGCTCCCCAGAGCGATCAGGGACAAGCCCAGATACCCCCTCTCCAGAAGAGGGTGTCAGAAACCATACACCCTCCTGCAGCTGCCTCCTGGGGGTGCTGCTGGCCTCCTCAGGGCCCTCAGGGAACCGAGGTACATCCAGGAGGCCTGAGCAGCGGCGTCGCACTGTCATTGGAGGGCTTGAGTCACTCTCTGTGTGGGATGACTCAGACGCCGACAGCCGCTTCCGTAATCTATGAGACACAAGGCCTGGGGTGAGATGGCCCATGTGGTCCCCCTCCTGCCACCAGGCCTCCTTTGGGGCACACAAGGGTTATAGTAATGGAACTTTCCTCTGCAGACATTCCTCCAGGAGCCACCCTATGAATGCCCCTCACTGCTACCTGCACTCTTCCCCAGCATCAGAATCTCTCTCAATATCTGTGACAATGAAGGGATAGCTGTCGCCCACCCTGGGTGAGCTCTGTGTGCTCACATCTCAGGGGAGCCAATCACCCAGCCCCGGTCTCGGCCTTTGAGCACCGCCAGGCCTTCTGAGCGGTCCTCCTTCTCCTCACTCAGGCTGCGCTTGGTCGGGGGTGGTGTCTGACGCTCTTCGAGTAGCGAGAGCCGTTCCATGCTGCTGTATACCTGTGGGGACAGGGGATGCACTGGGGATGGGCTCTGGTATCCGTACCTCCCAAGTGGCAAAAGGCATCCTTGGCATTGGAAACCCAGGAATTTGAGCCAGTCGGCTCCTTTCCTCCTCCACACATCCCTGCTGAATATTTGGGGAAGCAGTTATTCCACTGATCTGACCTGGCATCTCATGTCAGGGGCTGCAGTCGTTCCAGAAGCATCTATATATAGCTATATGGAGCCCCAGTCCTCTGCTCCTCTTTTTCTAGAGGTGGCCCCATCCCCATTCCTTGAGCCTGCCCCAAGAGTGCCCTTTGACAGGCCCTCTTCTGATCCTCCAGCCTGTTCTGCCCATTCTGGGTCTCCTCAGTCACACCTTGCTGAACCTTGGAGAGCAGGAGGAAAACTGGCGGATCTCAAGGCAGCCATCCTCACTCACATCTTCCTCATCTTCTGAGTCCACGTGGTGGTAGCGCTCTGAGCGAGCTGGGACAGACATAAAGGACACTTCAGAGTCCTGCTGGTGGCCTCCTTGTGACTCCATTAGATTTCAGCAGAGCCCTGAGAAGTTGCTCCCAATGCCAAGTTCAGTGTGCACAGATATTTCTAGGCAAATGGGTAGCACCCATACTCTACCCCACCAATTGGCGGCCTTACTGTCAAAATAGCTAGTATCGTCCTCTGACTCCAGCTGAGGAATAAATTCAGCCTTCTGGCGGAGAAGTCCTGTCCAGTCCAGATCAGTAAAGAATGGGTGCTCCTTCACCTCAGAGGCACCTCCTGTGGACGGGGAGGGCATGGGCAAGGGGGTAGGATGAGCTGCATGGAGTACAGGTCAGCATACCTAGTAAGAAGCCAGACCTTGAGAAGCTCTGGCTTGACCTAGGTGGTCAGCTCAAGCGTCTCCCCTTCTCTGCCTACAGGGAGCAGGGCAGAGTTTCAGGATCCAGATGGGCTGCCCATAACTGAAGCCCAAACCTTTAGGGTTTGGAACCTCCAGCCTCCCTTACCTCTTTTCCAAGTAGTGAGAAAAGTTAGCGGGGCGTGTCCTACCTGTGCCCAGTCTCTCCAGAGGGTTCTGGTGGAGGAGTTTGGAGGTGAGGTCCTGGGTGTCTGGGGGCAGTGCATCATCACCCTCAGGCCACACAATCTCATCTGAAGTCATCAGGGGTGAGAGGGAAAGGAGAAATTGTGGGGAGAGTGGAGAGATGTAGAAGAGGGTCCCAGGACAGTGTGAGGAAAGGAGGTAAAAAGGGCACAGCCTAGAGCCCCCAAAGCCTTGCCTGAGACCCCAGTCCTTAAATTCTATAGGTTCCTAGACCATGGCTTGATCTTTGATCCAAAGTGGGCACTGCAAAACAGTGATTTCCCCTCTCCTGAAGCTCCAGCTCACCCTGCTTCTATACTCCTCACACTCATGGGATGTGCACAAACAGAACACACAGGTATAGAGGGGAGATATGTGAAGCCCCAAGGACACAGCATGCACGTGTATGTACAGACAGAAACACAGACACATCCACCCCCAAAGCAGCAGACATCAGACACACACCATGAGTTCAGAACAAGAGCTCACAGGCCTCACAAGCTGCTGGAAGACATCTTATTTGTGGATCTACACTGTTTCCCCACTGGGCCAGGGGGAGAGTACCTACCACTGATCACCTGCCCAAAGAGCTCCTCCGGAGTATCTCCAAAAAAAGGGACACAGCCCACCAGGAACTCATACAGGATAATGCCCATGGCCCACCAGTCCACTGGTTTCCCATAGCCCTGGCGCAGGATCACCTCAGGTGCAATGTATTCCGGGGTCCCGCATACCTGGGCACAGAAAGGCCAGGCTGGCTTAGCCTCCTGAGGCTGCTCACTGGCATGACAGCTGGAGAGGGGGGATGCTCCCACCTCTGAAACAGAAGAGTCTCTGAATGAAGACTCAGCCCACCTTAGTTAATGAGTAAGATCAACAGGAGCCCCAGGGAATAAGAGTTGGAACTGTTGGCTGGTATTTCCTAATTAACAAAAAAAGTCTCATTCTAGCCTGGAACTACCATCTCTTAAGCCCTCAACACCCCCCTCCGGCATCTGATCCCACAATTGGCCTCTGCACTCCAGCCTCTAAAAGAACAGATCCTGCGAGTCACATAACTACTACAGGGACTGGTGAAGTCACAACCTGAAATCTTAAACCAGGGAACATCCAGAGGCTGCCTCTCAGGACACTGGGCCATAGCCCAGTGGAAATTCAGAGCTCTGTTCCAAGAACCACAAGCTCCAGGAGAGCCTTGTCCTTGACTCAGGCTGGGAGATTTGGGACTGATCTCATATGAAACTCTGTGCTAACAGTTACTGACCTATTTTCTCCAAACCCTGAGGAGGAAGATGACTTTGGATTTTATATCCATATGATTCTTATGGCTCATCCTGTTTTTCAAATGTGCTACCTATATCAATGCCTCTCTGGAACCCAAAGGTAGAAAAGATAGGGGTTCTCCAATCTTAACCTCTAGCTACAAGGTAGGCATATGGCCCCAAGGCCTTCTTCTAGGGCCTTGAATGTATGTATATGTATACAAATGTAGAGATGAGGTCTCACTATGTTGCCCAGGTCTGATTTTGAATTCCTGGCCTCAAGTGATCCTCCTGCCTCAGCCTCCCAAAGGGCTGGGATTATGGGCGTGAGCCACTGCGCTAGGCCAAGGGCCTAGAATTTAACCCCCAATATATCAACTACCCTTCCTTACCTGCTTGTCCAGGAATTCCCGGGCATCCTTTTCAATATGACCCTCATATAAGTTCGTTGTCAGACTCATGAGGCCAATTTTGGACAATCCAAAGTCAGTGAGCTTGATGTGCCCCATGGATGTAATTAGGAGGCTGGGAGACCAGAGACACAAAATTATGAAGTTATTCCTGGTTTTCCGAGAGTACCGATTTTAGCATATGCCCAATGTCCCCACTCAGGCTTCCATGGGGGTACTGTGAGACAGCTTCAGCAGGGGGACAGGCAGGTGTGAAAAGTAAATTACTCTGGCTATGTGTTACATTCTACACAAGCAACAAACCTGCCTTTTGCCCATTCCCACAACTCCATTTCTATTTATTGCCCTAACTATATTCTATATTGGGGGTAGGAATCGTTCAGTTGAGGAATAGTTTCTTCTACAGAACTGAGCTCAGCCTCATCCTAAGGCAGCTTCTATAGCCATTCCTAGTCCCCTCTCCCAATCTGAGTGGCCCATAATACTCCTGTTTCAGGGAGAGGGGCAGGGGGCACATAATTTTGTTCCATGTCCATGGCTGGTCTTAGGAAGAGGGATGGTTGGGAGAAACTAAGATACCTTCATATACTCTTTCTGAGCCACTCATTTTGTGCTGAAGGCTTTACCCTGCCACCCTTTTATTCTAATGATTCCCCAAATAGTACCTCTGGCCCTTACTTCCTTCTTGAGCTCCAGGCCTACCCAACTGCCCATGTCTTTTAGGCACCACAAATTCAACCTGTCCAAAACAAAGTCAGACCTCCCAACTGGTTCCCCTTCTCAGTGAAAAACAGTAATTTCTGTTATCTATGAGCTCTGTGGTACTGTAAAAATATTCTGGCCCCTGAAAGGTTTTCTAGAGTAACACATCAAAGGTAGCTATAATTATCCCTATTTTAGAAAGGAGGAATGTGAGGGTCAGGGAAATTTAATTCATAGATTCAAATTCAGACTTAACAAGCAAAAGAGTGGCCATTTGAACTCAGGTCTGTCTAATGTCAAAGCCACTTTATTCCACAGAGGCTTATCACCCTGCAACAGTCCCAAGCTGGAAATGTGGAAGACATCCCAGCCCCCTTCTGTTTCCTCACTTCCCTTCCTACCCCCACTCCAACCTGATCCTCTTCCCTTTCTACTTCCCCATGCTACACCTCTTCTTTCTAACCTGACTCCCTGTTCTGCTGCAGGCATTGCTGTCTTTGCCCCGGTCTCAGTGTCTCCCTGGCAGTGGTCTCAGTGTCTCTCTTCATTAGCGGAGTGAGCTTTCTAAACCTAAACCACAATCTGGGTATGCCATTCTATCATATCTTTGGTTAACGGACCCTTCAAAGATTCTCTAGGCCCCTTTAAAATAAAACTCAAATATAACGAAAGGGCCCTTGATGAACTAGCACCTGCCTGTCTCATCTTTTCTCTTAACTACTCTCTCATCATCTAAGCTGTCGCCATGTTGTACTATTTGTACTTCCTGAACAAGTGATGTTCTCTTGCACCTGTGTGCCTCTGCACATTCTGCTCTCCTGCTTTGGAAAGCAGGTCTCCTACCTTTTTCCACTTGACTAATACCCTCTGAGAATAAGCCTATATACATATATTTCTGTCTCACACTGTAGACTTAACTTCTACATGCCAGGGACTATATTTAAAACCCAGAATATAGTGCTTGGCACAGAGTAGATGTCAGTAAATGTCAGGACACTTGTTCAACCATTTACGACATGTGCTTTTTCTTTTGTTCTTGCTTGGTTTCTTCAGTGGGGCTCCTCAGTGACTCATGTCTCTGAAGCCTTATAATGCTCCAGCCAGACCTTGAGGTAATGATCTGCATCTGGGGTCTGGGGGTAGAGAACTAGGCCTAGATGGACACACACAGAGACATGTTTTCCCAGTAGCCATCTGGATACATTTAGATCTACTGTGCTTGTCAACATTTATCTAGAGACCCAAGAGGGAGACTCTGGACAAGGGACACAGAGAATAGACATACTTGTCAGGCTTGAGGTCACGGTGCACGATGCCATAGTTGTGTAAGTACTCCAGGGCGAGCACAGTTTCTGCAAAGTATAGGCGCACCATGTCCACAGGCAGGGCCCCAATATTCTTCAGCAGAGTGGCACAGTCTCCCCCTGCAATAAGCCCAGGCTACCATGAGGAAAGGATCCAGTTCCCTATTCTAGCCAGTTCCCATCTGGCAGTTTCTGAGATCCCAGAAGAGACAGCTTCATGGAACATCCTGGTGCTGGAGACTATTCTAGCCCTTTTGTTGCTGGCATGGGTGGGAGACACAGTGATATGGTTTGGCTGTGTCCCCACCCACATCTCATCTTGAATTGCAGCTCTCATAATTCCCATGTGTTGTGGGAAGGGACCTAGTGGGAGAAAATTCAATCATAAAAGTGGGTCTTTCCCATGCTATTCCTATGATAGTGAACAAGTCTCATGAAATCTGATGGTTATTTTCATTTATTAATATTTTTTTAGACAGTCTTGCTCTGTCGCCCAGGCTGGAGTACAGTGGCTTGATCTCAGCTCACTGCAACCTCTGCCTTCTGGATTCAAGGGATTCTCCTGCCTCAGCCTCCCAAGTAGCTGGGATTACAGGTGTGTGCCACCACACCCAGCTAATTTTTGCATTTTCAGTAGAGGTGGGGTTTTGCCATGTTGGTCAGGCTGGTCTTGAATTCCTGACCTCAGGTGATCTGCCTGCCTCTGCCTTCCAAAGTGCTGTGATTATAGGTGTGAGCCACCATGCCCGGCAGATCTGATGGTTTCAAAAAGGGGAGTTTCCCTGCACAAGCTCTCTCTCATCTGCCACTATGTGAGACATGCCTTTCATCTGCCATGATTGTGAGGCCTCCCCAGCCACAATGAACTGTAACTCCAATAAACCTTCTTTCACAAATTGCCCAGTCTCTGGCATGCCTTTATTAGCAGGGTGGAAATGGACTAATACACAGGGTACGGAGGAGGGTGTAAAATAAAGTGAATCTGCTGATAGCTGTTCAGGCCATTTTTCAGGCTAGCGAGGGAAGGAACCCAGCCCTCTATTAAAAGTAATGGCAAAAATGCAATTACTTTTGCATCAACCTAATATTTTAGGACAGGAATACTGCATACTGTAAACACATCTGGCTGAGACATTAGCATTTGTTCATTTTACTTCCTTCTTATTGGCTTTCTTTTAGTTTCTGAGTAAAGTAACACTATAAACTCCCAGCATGTACCCACTAAACACTAACAGAGTTTTGTTTTGCTTCAGCCTCAAGACACAGGCACAGCATCTTTGGAAGCTGTACACATAGTGAGAAGGTGAGAGGGAAGGCCACTGACAAAGCTGCTGCCCCTCTCCAGAACTATGCCTTGTGTTGCTCTTCTGTTCCACTCCCAGAGCATTTTACATGGCTTTAAGGGGTGTGCCCTTTGCAAGCCAGTCAGGGTGATTAATGGCTTTCCTTTCTTCTGAGGGTCCAGATGCAATCCTCCTAGCACCCAATCCCAGGCTTTTGCAGCTCTGCTGCCTCTTTTGTTGCTGTCTGATACCAGCAATAGAGGGTTTGCAGGCTTTGGGGTGCAACATTGTATAGCTGCTGGCCTGCTACATCCTGTTCCAGAGTGCCTCTCATGGTAGAGGCAGGGAGCTTTGTGCCCACCATGGCCAAATGGTCTTAGTAATCCTGAGGCTGAAAGCAATACCAAAGAGGGACTGGAAAGTTGGGCCCTGGAACTTCACCTCTGTACAAAGCTGCTGGTCCCTGTTTAAGGCTAAGTCTCAGATTGTGCCTTTGCCTTTGTGCCAGGCCACCTTTGCCTCAGTACCTTCAACATACTCCATCACCATGCACAAGTGGCGCTTGGTCTCAAAGGAGCAGAACATGCTGACCACGAAAGGGTTCTCGGCAAAAGTCAGTATGTCACGTTCCACAAAGGCCTGCTGGATCTGGTTCCGTAGGATCAGGTTCTGCTTATTGATCTTCTTCATGGCAAAGCGCTGCCTGGTGGACTTATGCCGCACCAGGAATACAGCCCTGGGAAACACAGTCCGGCCCAACATAAACCTTCAGCACCTAAGCTGTGCTCTCTGCCACCCAAACTGCCTTCTCTCAAACCTTAATTAATGCGCAGAACAAAGGTGCAGGGGTATGCATATCAATGAGAAGGATCTGGGACCCCTTGGCCCACAAAACTCTTAAACTTCCTGATAGACCATGTCCTGATGACACGGCTCAATGCTTCCCCAGAGCTCAGGGAGAGGAGGATGCATGGTAGTAAGAGGGCTGGGAATCTTTTCTGGAAAGGAACAATGCTCAGATGTCAGAGGAATCTCAATTCCTGCCCACCCAGGAGGCTTCTGGGAGTGAGAAAGTCCACCCCGAGGCATCTGCGCAGAGGATTGGGCAGCAAACACTCTCACATGGAAGAGACCAAGGGCTGACCTGGCTTCAGTCCTGGCCACACCCTGACCCCTGCCTTTACCCATAGGCGCCATTGCTGATGAGCTTAATGGTTTCGAAGTCCTCTTCAGAGGGTGTCTTTTTAGATGGCAGAGATGCCCCACGGCCCTGGAAGACAAGGGGAAAGGCAGGAGACAGGTATGCTTTTTAGAGCCCATATCCTTGCAGAAGCTGTGGCTCTAGTGTCTTCTCAGTTCTTAGCTCTAGCATACTCTCCTGACCATTCTTCTGGGAATAGAATGACTTCTTAGACAGTGTTTGTTGTCACCAATACCCCCAACCCTCCTTCAGATATTCTCTTAAAGAGAATTCATAGCTCTTTGCTTCAGAGGGCCTAGGCTCCAGGAATGGGGCAGGAGCTCAGGGTTTTACCTCAATAGAATCATCTGTCTCTGGAGTATCAGGACTGTCATAGCTGCTCAACTGGGCCATTTCTGGAAACAAAACAAAGACAAGAGAAGTGCATGTGGCAATGTCAGGTATCTCAGCAGTACCCTCAGATCATACAACAGGTGCATGTAGGGTAAGCACTAATGCTTTCTGCATCAGCCTGGGATGTGAATTCAGTCCTGTGGCACTATACACAATGTAGTCCCAGCTTTTGGATCAGGAAACAAACCAAATCCTACTGCTAATCCCATTTCTAGAAGTCCATTGCCATTCACAGGGTCTGGCAAATTCTATAAACTTGGGTCATTTCCTGGACAACAGCCTGAACTGGGCTACTAGTTCCCATCCTGCTGGCCAAGACTGCTTCACTGGATGGGGCTGGGAAGCACAGAAGGCAGGAGCAGGATACCTGCAGACCAGGGACTTGGAAGCCCATTGTTCCTGCAGGGGTTCAGCAGGAAGCCCAGAAGAATGGCGATATCCTCTGAAGCCCTGTGTTGGACCACCTCAAAGACACAGAAAGATCTGTAAGGTGGCCAAGAGGAGAGGCAAGTTGCAGAGGAGGTGACCATTTTTGCAAACATGACTGTGGCCCTTTTTTGTTGACCTCTTTGGATCTGAGGCTCTATATGCAACTCAGCCGAGCCAACGCAATCCAGGCTGGGATCCATCAGCAGATGTGAACAGCAGTTCCAAAGGAAAGGCTGTTTTGTCAAAGAGATCACAGTGTATCTCCTAAAATCCTGAGGCACCGGGGCCATGTTGTGTCCATGTCCAAGCTAAGTCTCTTCTCCCAGCAGCTTCCCTGCTGTTAGAGCTTGCTAGCAGCAATGGGGCCTCTTTGCAGCTACCAGGCAGCATGCTCACCCTCTAGGGGATCCCGTGTGAGGCCCAGCTGGCTAACGATGTAGCGGGGAATGTCACATTTAATCCCTTGTCCCTCTTTGGCGTGGCCCTCAGCTGCTTCTAATAGGTGGTAGAACTCTTCAGGGTCAAACTCCTGTACCAAGGGAGAGAGGTAGTCAGTGGTGACAGATAAAAGTGAAGGCTGTTGGCCTCTTTGGTTTTACAGCATTTAGTAGAGTGAGATAAACAAGATTTTCTCTGTGAGGAGGAACTCCCACTCCTGAATACTCAGAAACAACATGATTCAGGGATCACAGGAATGGGGACAAAGATATCAACCAGATCACCTCCAGACTGGACATGCTAAGCATATGCTGTCTTCCTGGCAATAAGAACTAGAGGTTTTGCTTTCAAGAGAGCTCAGCCTATTGATCTCCCATGCCCTCAATCAGCCAAGTGGCACTGTCAGGTGTGTTCAGATGCCCAGTCCACAGCAGTCCTGGCACACACTCAATTAAGGCTCATAAGAGCTTTGGCACAGCCCTACTGGTGCATGCATACCTTCAAATATTTATCAGGCACTTCCTGTGTACTAGAGGCTGAAGATCCACTGAAAAGCATAGTCCTTGTCTGCACATAATAACTGAGTGCCTACTAAGAGCCACACACTGGGTTAAACCCTCTAGCAACTAACTCTTCGATCTCACTGAGGAAATCAAGGCTCACAGGGATGCACTGATGTGTCCATAATCACAGAGGTAGGAAGGAACAGAAAACCAGCATTCAGCCCAGGTCTGACTCCAAGCCCCTGCTCAGCCAAGCACTTCATGTTCTCGAGGGAAAGGCTCTCTGCTTGATCACAGCACTAGCTCTGAACTTTGTTCTCATTCCCTGTGGTCTCACTGTTTTGGAGAATTGTACCCATCTGGATATAACCTAAGCCAGACCTGGAAGTCGTTTTAACTTCTTATTCTTCCTTAGCTCCTATCTGGTCAGAATATCTCTCTCATAAATACCTCTCTAATCCACCTCTTTCTCTCTGTTATCCTACCATTCAATGTCTGAGTTCTGGCCACCCATTGCACATGAATTGCTTTGAGTACCTCTGCCCTAATGTCCCTGGCTTATCTTGCCCTGTCTTCCAATTCACTATCCATGTTGCAGCCAAAGTAATCTTTCTTAGGACTAAATCTGATGCAATATTTACACAGAAATAAATATGAACCAATTACTGATACATGCAACAACATGTATGAATTTCCACAAACATGCAGAGTGAAAGAAATCAGTACATACTACAGAAACCACACAGAAACATGGTTTCATTTCTAGGAAACTGTACAAAAGGCAAACCCATCCCTAGTGAAACAAAGCAGGTAAATTATTGTCTGGGAGCAGGAGCAAGAGAGGACTGACCTCAAAGGGGCACAAAGGAACTTATATAATAGAAATATTCTCTATCTCAGCCGTGGCCATGATTCTAAAAATGTATATTTGTTAGATCTCAGTGAACTATATAATCAAAGGGATATATTTTATTGTATGCAAACTGTATCTTTTTTTGTTGCTGTTGAGACAGAGTCTTGCTTTGTCGCTAGGTGCCAGGCTGGAGTACAGTGGCATGATCTCGGCTCACTGCAACCTTGAGACCCAGGTTCAAGCAATTCTCCTGCCTCAGCCTCCTGAGTGCCTGGGACTACAGGTGTGTGACACCACGCCCAGCTAATTTTTGTATTTTTTAGTAGAGATGGGGTTTCACCATGTTGGCCAGGATGGTCTCAATCTCTTGACCTCCTGATCCACCTGCCTCGGCCTCCCAAAATGCTAGGATTACAGGCGTGAGCCACTGCGCCCGGCCTTGTGTAAATTATATCTTAATAATATTGTTTAAGAAAAAAGTAAATGTGACTATGTCACATTCTCACCTAAACTTTGTGGTACCTCCAAGTGGCCACAAGAGTGACGCAAAACTCCAGAGCTAAGAACGCAACACCCTCTGTGACCTTGTCACAAACTACCTTCCAGGCTTACCCCTCAGCACTTCTTCAAACCCACCCTGTGTCCCACTGAATGCTCCTTCCCATGCTCCTTATCTGGGATTTTGCTGATATCATGTCCCCCAGGGAGCTTTCACTGAATGTTCCTTCAAGGGAAGACTAAAGCACTTCCTTCCTTTTCTAGGTTCCCAGTGTGCTGTGTACTGACCTCAGCTGCAACACTTCTTGCAGTTATTATAATTACTATTTACATGTCCTCATGCCTCATGCTCCCCAAGTACACTGTAGAGGAAGCATCCTGAGATCACAGACTGTGCTTTATTCATGTCTGTATCTCCAGTGTCTAGCACAAAGTAGGTACTCAGTAAAGTATTGCTGAAGATTAAATGAAGTACTCAACTTGTGCAGACTAAACTGGGCTATGCTCCTGATGCTCGTTACCCCCAAGGCCCCCCCTGATGTGAGCCCTGCTCATGTTGGGGTGGGCTAGACTAATACTCCGCCCTGCCATATCTCCTCAGGACCATACATTTGTCCTCATAGAAACCTGTTTAGTCCCCCAGTGCTCGCAAAGCATAAATAAGGACTAAGCAACAGAAATGGTGGTGGGTGCCACCACTGTTTTGCTGTCAGTAGGCTACTTCCTCTATAGCCCTCCTCCAAATCTGCCCATCCGACTTTCCTATAGTCCACTCACCAGGCATTCCAGGAGACGTGCTGGGCGGGCAATGACAATCATCAGCTTTTTCACTAGCTGCATCACAAAAGCCACTTCCGAGCTCTCTGAGCGCTCATGAGCCTACAGAGAAAAGAAGGGTTGTTTAAGCAATCTACTGGCCCAGTATGGTTGGGCTAAGCAGGACTAGACTGGGCAGAGCTGACTACAGGAAGAAACAATTCGGTAGCATAGAGAGCTCTGCAAAGCAAGGAACTCAGAGAAGGCTTGCTGACTATGAGAGGGAGAGAGTTGCTTACAGGGAACCATCTGACCTTTAGAATACTACATAACACCAAGGAATGTCACACAGACATATAGTTGTACCTGCCCCTACATCCAACAAGCCTCACTTACCCTTCAGACCCCAGTTCAATGGGCAACTCTCAATGGTGCCTTCACTGATGTTCACTTTCCACCCTAGACTGTAAGGAATAGAGAGACCTCAAAGCTGAGGAGTGATATGGTCAGAAAGGCACTTCAGAAGGATCACTGTGGCTGCAGTGTAGAGGGTACACTAAGAGGGCAAGGCTAAAAGCAGGAAAACCCATTAGCAGGCAACTCTAATTATTCAGATAAAAAAGGCACAGGTCAAGGCAGAAGAATGCAGACAAGTGGACAGACTTGGGCTACTACAAAAGCAGATTAAGGGGTGAAAGAAGCATGAATAGAAGGCTACTACAACTTCAATTCTAGGAAAATTTCAATGAAGAAGTGAAATGGGAACTCTAAGATGATAAGCCATTTAGGTGAAGATAGGTAAAGAAATACTGTATTTTGTTTTAGAGAAAGAACATCTAAGCAGAAAAGATAAGCTCAATTTTGGGTGTATAGAGTTGCAGGCACCTACATGAGAGAGTCTCTTGGGTATCTGCTTGGCTCCAAGGCCTTTCTCTTTTTTCCTGAGAACTGCTATGGTTTCTAGGAGCCACATTTGTACTGTGTGGCTGTACCTTCCCTCCCACCTCTAATAGCTGGCCAGGGAGGATCAGTTGCCTAGGAATTTAAAAATAGATAGAAAGATTATTGTTAATGTCAATGTGGCAGAACTGTTTAAGAAACTGTGAAAAGGGATGGCCATACCTATCATGGAGATAGAGGAAAAGAAGCACACAGAAAGAGAAATGAAGACTTCCTGAAATTCCTGGAGCTTCTGGTTTCTAGTTCTGGTTTCTTCTTAAGTCCTGGTTATATCCCTAGCTTCAATTCTCAAGACCCACCCCTTTTACTCTTATGTTTCCCTTTACTGTTTAAACTATTCTGAGTCAGATTTCTATTACATGCAACCAAAGAACAGAAACCAATAAGGGAAGTCAAAGTGGAGGAGTCCAGTGGGCAGCTGGGTGTACTGATTTGAAGCTCAGAAGTGGAGCAGCCACATGTGGGAGTCCTCAGCGTAGAGATGACAAGTGAAGAACTGAAGACATGGGAACAGGTGGCAAGGCATCAGAGAGAGTGTGGTGAAAGGGGAAAGGGGAGAACAGACATGCAGGATGGTGCTGTGTGATACACCAGTACTATAGAGATGGGCAGCAAAGGAACTTGTAAAGAGTCAGCAAGAACAGTGAGAATGGTGAATTGACAACGAGGGGGGAAGAGGGTTTAAGAAGTATTCACTGTGTTCCACAGAGAGGTGGCAGAAGATGGGGACTCAAAGTGGCCACAGGATTTGGCAACTGGCCAATTAGTTCCTTGGTGAATTTTGCCTGAACAGTTTTAGTGGAGTGGTGGAAAGGGAATTGGAAGGCAGAAGATTGAGTAGTGAATAGGATACAAGGAAAGGAAAATTAGTATATGAGGACTTTTCTCTTTTTAAAGTATTGATTATGAAATGAAGAGAGAGGTTGAGCAGTTGGTAAAATCCTATTTATTCTTTTAAAATGTAGCCCAAATATCAATTCTGTGAAGCCTCATCTGTCTCCTGTTCCCAACACACATATATACACACAGGAGAAGAAAAAGAAGTAACTGCTCTCTTTAACATATTCTCCTGGCTGTTAGTGCATAACACATAGTACTGTCATGCTGTGTCATAATGAGCTATCTGTCTCTACAGCTACACTGCTGGGCCTAGCGAGTAAAGAGGCTCTATGTCTTTTTCTTTCCTCAAATGCTAAGCCTAGCAGAGTGCCTCCTATACAGCAGATGTCAGTCAATGTCTATTGATTAAGAGTTTGAAAATGTATGATCTCAGCCTCTGGAATAAGCCAAACCTGGCTTTGGGTCCTGGTTTTGCTACTTAAAAAAAAATCAGTTTATCTTGAGCTAACTTAGTTTCCTCATCTGTAAACTTAGGAAATAATATTAAGTACCTTCCTTACATGGTTGTGAAGATTTAATCAGATAAATTAAATGAGGTAGTGTCTAGCATGTATTAAATACTATTAATAACAGTATAATATACAGTAACTAATAAATGTTACTGATTTTCATTATTCTAAAATCTGATCGGGTCATTTTCCAATTTGCCATATTAGATGATACCCACTGCATTCATGATACAATCTAAACTCCTCACAAGTCCCTTCAGCCTCTGGCCCCCAGTCTAATTCTTCAAATTCATCTGCCAACTGGCCAGGCACGGTGGCTCATGCCTGTAATATCAGCACATTGGGAGGTCGAGGTGGGTGGATCACTTGAGGTCAGGAGTTTGAGACCAGCCCGGCAAACATGGTGAAACCCTGTCTCTACTAAAAATACAAAAATTAGCCAGGCATGGTAGCAGATGCCTGTAATCCCAGCTGCTAGGGATGCTGAGGCAGGACAACTGCTTGAACCTGGGGGTCAGAGGTTGCAGTGGGCCAAGATCACGCCACTGCACTACAGCCTGGGTGACAGAGTAAGACTATGTCTCAGAAAAAAAATAAATCTGCCAGCTTTTCCCCTGTGGGCATCTTTTACTGTAGTCATGCCAAACTACTTCATCTGCAATTTCTGGAATATACCAAGTTTCTTTACACCTTTAAGAGGTTATTTACTTATTTATTTATTTAGAGACAATCTCACTCTGTCATCTGGGTTGGAGTGCAGCGGCACAATTACAGCTCACTGCAGCCTCGGCTTCCAGGGCTCAGGCAATCCTCCCAACTCAGTCTCCTGAGTATCTGGGATTACAGGTGCATACCACACTTGGCTAGTATAGAGAGGGAGTCTCATTTTGTTGCCCAGGCTGCTCTTAAGCTCCTGGGCTCAAGTAATCCACCCTGGCCTCCCAAAGTGTTAGAATTATAGGCATGAGCCACTGTGCCCAACCAAGAGGTTGTTTATGCTGTTTCCTAGCTTTATCCTGTCTGTTAAGATTCAACCTTCCCTGAACTTTCCACGAAGAGTCAGCATATCCTCCTCTGTGCTGAGAATCTACCTCTCCCTGGTGCTCATCATCACATTGTACTGTAGTCAGTGGAAGTGAGAAAATTCATATACTCAGTGTAATAACAGTGAATATTTTTATTGTAAGTCATGTTGATGGGTCTGTAACCCTATTGATGGCAAATTCCCTAAGATAGAGCCTGCAATGAATTCTTTTCTATATTCCAGGTGTCTCACAAATTAGGGAACAGATGAACAAACTGGCTCCAAACTTAGTGCTCCTACTGTATCAAACAACCTACCCCAACTAGCAGTCAGTCTGGGAAAATACCTAAAGGTTTTGGGCAAGTCTCTGACCTCAGCATTTTAGATCAATCTTAAACGTAACAGGTCACTTGGAAGTTACTTTACATTAATCCTTTACCTGATACAGTAATCCCTGATTCCTAAATGTCTCCGGGGTTCCCCTTTCCATTGCTGGCAAACTGTCAGAAAACTTTTCTTGAACAGAAAGTAATAGCTCCCAGTGATTTTCATGGGACTCTGGCTTTCTAAAATTATACTTCTACAATGTTTGATTTTAAGTATTTCTTTTGAAATCAGAAAAAGACACTTTATAGAAGGAAATAATTTTTCACCTATTAAATCAAAACTTTTCTCACTGTAACTCATGCCCTTTGGACTAATTGATGTTTTTCAGGGGTACTGAGAACAATCTGCTCTCTTTTATATATGAGAAATTTTCTACTACTTGACAACAGTAATCATGATCATCTTTAGTCATCCTTTCTCTAGATTCAACTGTTTCCTGAAAATGTGTTTAAACTCCCTGCTCCTTCTTATTTCTAGATGAACACACTGGTATCCTTTTGATGATGAGCCCTGGGCCCTCAGCTCAGTTGGTACTACTCTAGACAGAGATCTTCGTCTGGAAGTACTAAGGGGTTCTGGACTGAAGAATTCTTTAGTGACATGATGAGCTCTGGAAGATGATCCTCTCTCCCTCAAACTGTACTAATGGATAATATGGACTGCTGTAGTCTGAGTGACATGGCATCTGGCCACCTTACTGAAGAGGCTGATAGCAAAGGAAACGCTAGTGCAGGAAGCAGTGCTTAAGAACTCTCACATGCTTTGGTCTTGGCCATCTCTGGATTACTTTACCTTTAGCCTCCCAGAGATTTTCACACAGGGGAGGATCAGGTCTCAAAGCATGTAATTCCCAACCAGACAACTTCTCATCAAGCAAATGGCTAAACCCATAGTGCAAGCCTCATACCTGCTGTCCCTTGGCTGAGGATAAACAGTCTGAAGGTTCTGCTTACATCAGTATTTCCAGTAGAATGGAGCCCATCACAGCCACTGGAGCCACTTTTTGGCTTTGTGTAACAAACCTCCTAGTCAAATACTTATGAATACTACCAATGGTGGAGCTTCATGCAGAGTAATACAACTTTGGATTTAGAAATGGAACAGAAGTGAGTTCTTTTAATATCAAGCAGACTTCTCTCAGTATTGCAGGGAACTGAGGAGGAATCTAAGTCTATCAGCACTAACCGTGAGGGTGGGTAACAAGCAGTCTGTTAAGACTGAGAATACCACTAATGCCCTGATCCTAGCTTGGGATTATGAATCCAATACCAGGTGGAGGTTTTACCAGAACCCCAGCACAAGGACACTCACATCTTGCAAGAGTTTCTCCAGATTTTCTTGAAGTTCATAGAAGTACTGTGATGTAATGAGGCCACTCTGAGATTTATCCAGGCAGTCTCGGGCCATCTCAATCACCTGATGATGAATAAAGCTCAGGGCTCCATCTGCCAAGGGTAGCACGCTGTCTGGAGTGTTGGAGGAAATAAACTCTGCTAGTCGCTCTTCCATTTGTGCAGTGGCCTGGGAAGAAAAGCAAGAAAGAAACACTTCCCTTCTAGTACCAGCTCAGTTGGAGCTAAGCCTGAAGGATCTGGAAATAGCAGAATAATGGGCTCCCTGTAATCCTGGTTTCCTTACACTGCATTTGGGAAACCTGATAACTGAAGACATTAAAAGATCACCTTCAAGTTAAGTCAAGATGCCTTTGCTTTACATTTAAGGTTCTCTTTTACCTGGCCTTGCCCATCTTCCTTAACTCCCTGCAGGGCAAGCTCTTTTGCTATAAGGACACGGAAGTATTTGCTATCTTCCTGCTTTACTATGTTGTTTCATGCCTCTGTATGCTGTTCCCTGTGTGTGGCTTTTTCACCCTGACAAGCCTGCCTGGCAAACTTCTAATTCTCCTTCTAATCTCAGTTCAAGCATCGTGTCTCCTCAGGAAAGTCTTTCCTTTCCCCAGGCAAACTAGGGTTTCCATCCCTCTGTTCTTCCCCTAGACCTCCCAACTGTGTAAACTTAGTGTACGGGTACTGCTGGTTTCTAAACTGGGAAGTCTTTCAAGTAGGAGAGAGTTTCATTTATCTCAGGATCCTCTTACTTAACCCTAGGACCCAAGCGAGTTAGGCAGGTGCTCGGGGAGTTGCTTAGTGAACCTGCCTGGTCACAGATGGCAAGTTGGAATGGGGGGACTTATAGATAGGAACATGATCATAACCTGGATCCCCAGAAGAGGAGAATGGAGGTCTGGCTCCAAAGTGTGTTAGGGACCTAACTACACAGTCATGTCAAAATGACAAATACACATCTGTCAACGAGTTCCTAGTTGTCTAAGACTCTGACTTATTTCTTTTGCCACCAGGTGGTGATTTCTGATTTCCAGTGTGTGTTTAGGCAAATGTATACCTACCTACATATATATGCGGTGTGTCTATGTGGAGAATGAAAGAGGAAGAGGGAAAAAGAGTGGGAATAAGAGGAGGAAGAAGGAAGTGAAGGAATCCTAATACATTTTCTCTAACAATAGTTCATCCAATAGGAAGGAACTGGAAACGTGCCTATAAACACAAACATCCAATGCTACAAAAACACCTAATATACAAAGAGGAGGAGGACACGCATGAGATACATTTCTCAACATTATATACTCCCAAACGTTATAAGCACCATGTACATCAAAATGAATTCCTGTTTGTTCTGCCTCCTTCCTCACTCTTTTCTCTAGCGCCCACTCCAAAGCTAGAAAGCACAGACCACAGGGCACAGGTTCTGCAGTGCAGTATCCTCTCTCCGTCAGGAATAGGGCCTATCTTCAGAAGGCAAGGTCAGAGTGTACAGGCATGTGGTGTTGAAAAAGACATACAAACAGGGCTGGGTGCAGTGGCTCACATCTATAATTCCAGCACTTTGGGAGGCTGAGGCAGGTAGATCACCTGAGGTCAGGAGTTTGAGACCAGCCTGGTCAACATGGCAAAACCAGTCTCTACTAAAAATACAAAAATTAGCCAGCTGTAGTGGCACATGCCTGTAGTCCTAGCTACTCAGGAGGCTGAGGCAGGAGAATTGTTTGAACCTGGGTGGCAGAGGTTCCAGTGAGCCAAGATTGCACCACTATATTCCAGGCCTGGCTGACAGAGCAAGATTCCATCTCTTAAAAAAAAAAAAAAAAAAAAAAGACATGCAAATGGGAAACAAGGTCCTAGTTCCATATATAAGGAGGTTCACAGCCAAACAACAAAGCTGTGAATGGTACTTCTCAGCTATCTCAGGATACCAACCTACTTTCCTCCCTCAGCATTTTCCTGCTTGAAAATAAAAAGTCAAAGGTTAGCAAGCAACTCTGAGATCTGTTTCCTACTCTACTGCTCTCTCTGGCCTTCTTGCCGTTGCAGCCTACTTCTGTCTGTGTACTCTCTGAAACCTGGTAATGATGTGCTGCTTAAGAAATCTCTATCAAATGGAGGTGCCATCAGATGGCAAATCCTGTAATGAGTGAACGCTACTCATGGATCCTCACGAGCACATTGAGAAATAAAGCATCCAGTTCTTTTTTCCTCTTTAATATATGGTGGGATACCTTTCTGACATTCCCCTCTGGATAACTCTACTTCTGGATAGTGAAGAAATAGAGGCTTTGCAAATACAGTCCCCAAACTCATAGTTTCCTGCTGTCTCCTTCTCAAGTAGTCTGGAAGCCCCAGTGCTGTGTCCACAGCCTCCTGGCTTTCTGTTCTTCCTGGTTATCTCTGGAGGTAGCACTTCATTCCCTCACTCCAGAGTCTTCCCACTGGGGCTGGCTATGGGCAGCCACCCTGGGGGGCATTGCCACTCTCCTTTTAAATACATCCTTACCTTCGGGAATCTTTCTTTGTACACATGATTCATCATTATTATTTCACTGTCAAAGGAAACTGGGGATCGTCCAGGACTGAAAAAGAAAGAAATGATTGTGTTACTTTAGTGCTATGGAACTAACAAGGAGAAAGATGGCCATCCCCAGAGACTCTGTCTTCAGCAGCCTACATACACCCATCTTAATGGGTACTGAGTTCAAGAGCCTTTCTTATTCCTGGAGTTTCTGGTGTTCCTTGGTCAGTTCAAAATGGTACCATATGGAGCTAGGCTTGGTTTCCACAGACTTCTGCCAGGCTAGAAAGACCCAGAAAGGGACCTACTCCTAAGCTCACTGGTGGCTTTCCTAGGATAACCTCCCCCAGAGTAGGATTCTCTGTGTCCTCTTAGTTTTGCCAATAGGGTTGGGTATGCCCCAGCATAATCTTGGGAACAAAGCAAATAAAACAACTATGAAAGCAACCAAAGGAAGACTGTGCACATGTACATTTTTTTCCAAACTAGCTGCAGCCAGTGAACCTTACTTGGGCTCTGACCTGGGGGATGAATGAGGCTAGTCCAGACTGTTGTGAGTTATAAGTCTGGGTCATTTACTAAAGAGAGCCAGTATGTTTTCTGCCTTAATTTATTATCTTCCCTGATAACCTAAATCTCCCCCTCTGGCTCAAGTGTGACTTTATCTCCTTAAAGGATTTCAAAGTTGGAGCCACATAGTTAAATGGATATATGGGTCTTACCCAGTTTACTGCCCCTGACACATGATCCCAAATGTGCTAGTTTCACAACTGTCCCACTCTGTCTTTCTTCCCTGGAATGTGCCATGTTTTGCCTGCTGTTCTGTTGCAAATTACCAAGGATTTAAGAGTAATATAGCAGGGGTTTCTCTGAGCAACACTGTGGGCCTCCCAATCTCAACTGGCCTAAAAGGTACCTTTCTCTATGTATGGGTTGTTGAGACCACCAAGACTCAGGTGTTCTTCTGTGAGACAGAAAGGCACTGGGGATCCACACCTGTCCGTTTGTATGCCTGATCCTTTTGCACTCAAGTCCCAGTCATCATCTTCATCAGTCTCTAAACCTGAACCAGTCATTGTGGTCTGGCCCAACTTACTCCTTGTCACTCCTGGTGCAGCGACAGCATTACCTAAGGGGATTCTTTCTGGGAGGAAATGCTGCTCCTCTGGGATCCTACACTGCAGATATTAGCCAATTAATTACTTCTTAGGGACTCTGCAAAAGTGAGCTCAGTCATTAAAGTCATGTTCATTTTAACCTAAAATTCTGGCAATAATTTAATAGTTAACGCCAATGATAATAGAAAATTAATCAGCAGCTGTTAAGGTTTGTTTGGTTTGATGAAGATGTGCCCAGGTGATTCATATAGACAATTCAAATTGACATTTAATTCTGCTTTTGAAATGGGCTTCTTCCCCATGCCAGCAACCTGTCTTCAGCAGCAACTTTTTTAGCTGGCCTAGCTCATATACCCAGGGCCTACGGGTTCTGGAGCCAGACAATCATCAGAATGGATGATACCATTGTTCTCCTTTTACCGAATGTAATCTAAAGTATATTTTTGCTGCTAACCACCTTAAAGGGAATAAGAAAGGGACCACTTGACAGTATTGTTAAATACCTCCTGGGGTGATAGGTTGAGCTGTAACTGAAGCCAAAAAGGGCCTGGGCTTTGCTGAACTTGACTCACTCAACTGGCCAATGTATTATGCCAGGGGTTAGCAAACTGCAGCCTGCAGACCAACTCTGGCCTGCCACCCTTTTTGTTTCTTTTAGTAAATAAAGTTTATATATTATTTGTAGATGCTTTCATATTACAACAACAGAGTTGAGGAATGAAACAGAGATAGATAATCTATAAAAAAGCCTAAAAATATTCAGTCTTAGCCCTTTATGGCACAAGTGTGCCTATCCCTGTGCTATGCAAACAAACTGAAATCCATATCCACTGGGACAGTGGGCAGAGAACACCCTCACCTGAGGCTCCGGGAGCGGGGCCGCATGGTTGGGGACTGCCGTCCCTCCTCATCTGGTACACTCTCTGTGCTGAAATGCTTCGTCAAAAAGTGTAGCTCATCAGCTGTAGGCTGGAAAGGCAACTGGTGCAGCTTTTCCTGTGAGGAGCATGATGACTAGAGGGGAAAACATTAAGAGGCAACATTAAAGACATGTCCCAGGGCAGTCCAGGAACAGGGAAGGACTGAAAATGGTCAGGGAACTTCCCAGTCAGTGTAAACCCAAAGCAGGTCTTCTTTCCTCTACTCCCTTAGCCTTGCCTGTGCCTGATCTTTTTCTTCTCCAGCATGTCAGAGCCCTCAGCCGTGAGGAACCCAATATACTAGAGTTCTTCAGGAGTTGTGAAGGGAGTTGGGCCCAGACCTTCATGAAATGTTAGAACTGCAAAAGTAGTTAATAAATCATGCTTCCTCGCTTGGGACATGTTCTAGGTGTGCCCAGCTGCAAATAACATCCTCTTAAGTTCTCTGGTCCACAATCTTGAGAGAGCCACTCTGGGCACAGCTCAGCAATGTTTCCTTTTGGCTGTTATCTGGAGGAGAAATGTCTTTGCTGGATCTGTGAAGGCTGTGCCCAGACTCTAGGGACACCAGCAGGGAAGAAAATTACTTTTACATCTGAACCTGAAGATTAGACTTGACCTGAATACACTTATGAATTCTAAACATGGCTCAATGACTGAGGATTCCTGACAATAGCCCACTGCCAATCTCAACACGCCATCTGAGGGAGGGTGCTTGTGCACTTCCACAGGTGCAGCTAATGCTGAAGCACCCATTCAGCCCCAGGACTGGGGAATTTCCCTTTACCTGATAAGACTGACAAAGAATACAGGCAAGTTGAACACTTTCAGCCCAAGTTCTATTTATCAAATGATCAGCCTCCTGAGTAGCTGGAATTATGGGCATGCACCCCCACACCCAGCTAATTTTGCATTTTTAGTAGAGATGGGGTTTCTTCATGTTGGTTAGGCTGGTGTTGAACTCCTGACCTCAGGTGATCTGCCTGCCTCTGCCTCCCAAAGTGCTGGGATTACAGGCATGAGCCACTGCACCTGTCCTGTTTGTTTTTTTTTTTAGACAGGATTTTGCTCTGCTGTCTAGGCTGGACTGCAGTGGTGTGATCATAGCTCACTGCTTGCCTCAAACTTCTGGGCTCAAGTGATCCTCATGCCTCAGCCTCACAAGCAGCTGAAACTTCAGGTGCACGCCACCAGATTCAGTTTCTTTCTTTTTTTTTTTGTAAGAGACAGGCTCCTGCTATGTTGTCTGGGCTGGTCTTTTGGAACTCCTGCTTCAACCTCCCAAAGCGCTGAAATTATAGGCCTGAGCTACTGTGCTTGTGTTTTAGACTATATCCCTATTTAAATGGATTTAAATATCTAAATCCACTTAAGAATGAAAGCGAAAGCACCACACTGAGATATAACTCTGTTGTCATAGGATCAATACTAAGTGAGAAATCAGCTTTTTTTTTTTTTTTTTGGCTAACAGTACACATTTCCTCTCAGAGAATATTATAACACATGAAGTTATAAACAGTGAGTGAGATGTCTCCATGGGGTTATTTCTTGGCCACACTTTAACAAATGATTTGGATCAAAGTTGCAAAAAGTCTTCTCACCATCTATAGCTAACGTGAAACTGGTGAGGCAATGTAAACTACAGTGGGCAAAACTGGTATTTTAAAGAATCCTAATAAGCTAGAGCACTGGGCTAAGTCTATTAAAATGTGCAGAAAAGGAATATTTATACATATATGAAACTCTTACATTGGTTCTAAAAAAAATCACTTGTTTTAGTAAAGAGTTATGGGAAAGGGGATGTTTACTAGGGAATGATCTTAAACTTAACAGTTGCCAAAGACCAGTGACATCTTTGGATTAATGTGATAGTAATATCTAGGTTGGGGAAAAAAATGTGCTCCTTTTCCCTGCTCAAGATTCGTGAATAAAGGCACACTAAACAGGGAAGACCTGAAGAATGTTGCAAGAAATGGGGATGGGGTCAGCAGGTCTACGGTCTGATTCTGCATGGGCTGCCAAGACTAAAACACTCCATATAGGGCCCTTTACAGAAAAAGTTGGCCAACCATGGCACTGTGGTTTTAATAAAAAGTTGCTCAGCTGGGTGTGATAGTTCACACCTGTAATCTTAGCACTTTGGGAGGCCAAGGCAGATGGATTGCTTGAGCCCAGAAGTTTGAGACCAGCCTGGGAAACATGATGAAATCCCATCCTACAAAAAATACAAAAATTAGCCTGCTATAGGCTGGTAGCATGCCCCTGCAGTCCCAGCTACTCAGGAAGCTGAGATGGGAGGATCATCTGAGCCTGGGGAGGTCAAGGCTGCAGTGAGCCATGAATGCACCACTGCACTCCAGCCTGGGTGAGAGTGATACTCTCTTGTTTCAAAAAAACAACAAAGTTGCTCAATGAGGACTTACTTAAGGGTCAATTGTGCATAGCAGCAATTAGTACAGCTCTTGTGTTTTAGGCTAAAACATTCTCCAAAATGAATAAACATTTTAGAGACAGGTCCGGCTTTCTGCTTCAGATGCATCAAACTTGGATATCAAATAACAATCACTCTTCCCTTCATTTTTGAAAGAAAAAGGTGAAAAAGAGGGGAAAATCTACTAAGTTTTTCGGATATAAGAAATGTGGGCTGGGTGCGGTGGCTCAAGCCTGTAATCCCAGCACTTTGGGAGGCCGAGGTGGGTGGATCACGAGGTCAAGAGATCAAGACCATCCTGGTCAACATGGTGAAACCCCGTCTCTACTAAAAATACAAAAAATTAGCTGGGCATGGTGGCGCGTGCCTGTAGTCCCAGCTACTCAGGAGGCTGAGGCAGGAGAATTGCCTGAACCCAGGAGGCGGAGGTTGCAGTGAGCCGAGATCGCGCCATTGCACTCCAGCCTGGGTAACAAGAGCGAAACTCCGTCTCAAAAAAGAAAGAAAAAAGAAAAAGAAAAAAAAAAAGAAATGTGATCTGCTCTTGGTTCCAGTTCTAGAAATAAGGATGCAGGAGAAGAAGTGTGCTTAGGAGCCCCCATATTTGGTCTCACTGTCAAAGCAAAAGTTCATCCTCAAGCCCTCCTTTGCCTCCACTAGAAGTAACCAATTTCCAGAGAGGGCACTGGTCATCCTTTCTGAAGGCACTTATAGAGCTGGCTATGGCTGGGAAGGGACACCAGCCCTCTGGTGCACTCTACATCATCTCTAAGCAACCTCTTTGAGTTTGCCTTTGGAGAAAAAGCTGAGAACCATTTTGTAACACTAGACAACCCAAAGGAAAGTACTTTCTCAGGGTGAAGGAAGTACGGCCACAGATTTGACTACTTACTGAGACAGTGGAGCTAGGAGTGTTAGTTCCATATCCTGAAGAGGGCAAAGAAGCCAAAGACCAGCGCCGTCCATCAGTCCTGTATGCAAGAAAAAAGTATTAGGCAGTTTCTATAGGACGCTACCCTGACCCACAACCTGCCTGTCTGTCCATCAGCATTTTGGGGCAGCTGATTCACTGTAGGGCTCCTCCTTAAGACATTAGTGCTCAGTCCAGTACATGCTTTTATTCCTCTCTCCTACAGAGGGCCTATTGTTGTTTTCCCTGCAAAGACAGATATCTGACTATAAAAGAGTCCATGACTTTGAATAACATAAGAACATCTGTCATACAACACCGTGGTTTTGGAATAAATATTTTCATACTCTCAACTGACTTTCAGAGAAACAATGACAGAGGATTCCAGCTACAGGCATCTTCACAAGTTAGAATTGCCACTGAAATGCAGCTATTTCCATTTTGGAAGGCTCCATGTAAAGGGTTCTGTGGTCTTCCTCAGGCCACTGGCTGACAACAGGAAGAAGTGGACCACCATCTGGGTCTGAACTGAGCATTAATCAATGGCAAATAGTTACAGGCTGCCTAGGAGCCATTAGGACCCATAAAACCAATCTTTGGGAATATTTGTCAAAGAGCGACAGTAACTTCAGAACGAGAAGGGAGGTAACATACACTTGGCTGTATATGAGACTCTGGGGGAGGCTTCCTGCTGCTCTCAAAAGGATGCTCCCCAAAGCACTCATCAAAACAAAAAAACTAACCCCTCCCCCAGTTATCTGCTTTACTGTAGAGGGGAAATATCAAGCAGATATCTAGTTTGAAACATTTATAATATGAACGTGTGATTCTTTGCCGGGACTGTGGGATGTAGTGTATTCTTTTTTTGTAGAGCTTGAGGGTATAGCCTGCTCTAGTTGAAGTTAGCTACAAAGTTTTTGTGTTGCTACTCACAGAACCTTGGACTATCAGCAATGGAGGAGCTTTGCAAGTTCATATTACAATTTATAGAGAAAACCACTATGATTTGGGTGATTTGTTCAAGGATTCATGGTTATGGTAGGGACAGGGAGAAGAAGCAGCAAAAAGAGGAATAAATCTTGCTGGGGCTTCTCCCTTTGAGGCACTCCCCGCTACCCTCACCGATACCTAGCAGCTTTCCTAAGGTTTCATGCCACATGCACATGACTCAAACTTCATGCTACCCTGGTAGCAGCACATACAGGCTGTAACTCTGCTGGAACCTAGTCTCTGAGATTCATACCCATCCAGGAAGGTACTCAGACAGGATGTTCTTTTTGACCTCTTTGCTGGGTCCTGGGAGCCCTACACAATAAAGCAAGTCCATTCCAGGAAAACAGAGCAGCAAAGATGAGACAAGTATAACTCAGGGATGGATTTCCCAAACCTGTGTCAAATATACTTTGGCACATGTGAGTTTTTCTCCCCTTAGACAAAAATAAAAGTCAGTTGCATGGCAGCTATTTCTCTGTATGATGAACAGTAGGGGCCACCAGAGTCAGGAACAAAATGCCACCACATGATGCCTTTATTTCCTCTATCTGGTCACCACAGTCACCTGAATAACTGAGGAAAGTTGTGGGAATAAGGAAAGTTGTGGGAATAAGACTTGTCCCTAAGCTCAGAAGTTTGGAAATATTCAGCAATTCCTGCCTCTAAGCATATGAGCTCTGAGCCTTGATTCCAGCAGGTAAAGGCCCTTTGGGCCTCTTTGCAAGATAGGAAAGGCCCAATGTTCATACCCACAGTCAGAGAAGAATCATCACAACCAGTTTTCACCAACCACATCACAAACCATACTGTCTGGCCATGCATAGCAGTTTCCCAGCCCCTCTTCCCATTATACCCTCTATTACCTGTCGGCTCTGTGGCTATGGCTGTAGTAAAAAAAAATACACATTATAGTGAGAACCAAACGAACCAGAGAGAGTGGTCTTTTTGAACCTTAGTATTTGGTCTAGCTTGGCACATTCCTTCTGTTTAGGAATGTGTGATAGTTTGAAGTGAAAGTGTAGGACCAATGGGTCTATCCTTAGCATTTCGTTCAATCTGTCTTTTGTTTGATATTGCAAACTAATGTGATTCTCCAAAGTGCCAGCCTGACCTCATAACCAGAAACAAACAATTCCTGATAAATCTGTTTGGCAGGGTTGAAACACTTCTCCCCACCAACACCAATAACAAGCAGCTTTTCCTACTATGTTCTATAAGAGGACAGCCCAGTGATCCATGTTCCATACACATGACTCAAATGTCATGCCACCTAGCATAGACCTATTTGGGTCTCAGTGGCAAAAACCAGGTCTTGAAGCCTCCTAGTTGGTTCTACTCATTAACCCAGGCAATGAAAGACACACAGTAACAACGGAACAGGCTGTTCCCTCTGCCTCGAATGGGTCCTCGCACCTAATGTGGCAGCTGCTTCTCATCCTTCAGAAAGGCTTTACATGGCCATCCAGTAGATATTCTCTGGTCTTAGTCTCTTCCTGTTCTTCTTTTGTTTTTGCTTTTTGGAGATAGACTCTTGTTCTGTTGCCCAGGATAGAGTGCAGTGGCACGATGTAGGCTCACTGCAACCTCTACCGCTTAGGTTCAAGTGATTCTCCTGCCTCAGCCTCCTGAGCAGTTGGGATTACAGACATGCGCCACCATACCTCACTAATTTTTGTATTTTTAGTAGAGACAGTGTTTCACCATGTTGGCCAGGCTTGTCTCAAACTCCCAACTTCAAGCAATCCACCCACTTTGGCCTCCCAAAGTGCTGGGATTACAGGCATGAGCCACTGCGCCTGGCCCTTTTCCTGTTCTTTCATGCAACATCATGCTGTTTCCCTCTATGATGCTTGTCATAGTTTACAACCATATACTTGTTTGTCTTTCTCTCCCACTACTCATTGGTCTCCCCACTAGGATACATAGCTTTCAGCAAATGAAGGTATCTCTATAAAGGTGATTTGATTGTGGTTGAAGTGAGACAGAAAATACGCAAATAAGAAAATATCAGGAATTGAAAAGTACTAGTTTGAAAATAAAACTGGATAATTTGATGGAGAATGACAAGGAGGCCCCTTCAGACTGAATGTTTAGGGAAGGCCTCTCTGAAGAGGTTATATTTAAGATGAGACATGAATGGTAAGAATGAATTACTTAAATGAAGAGCAGAGGGAATAGCATTCTTTACAAAGGAAACAACCAGTACACAGACTCTCTCACATCCTGAGTTTCAGGGAAGTAAGGACTATGTCTGTTTTGCTACCAATACATAACTAAGCACCCAGCTGAGCGCACCTGGCTCTAGTTAGTAGTGCTCAGCAAATATTTATGGAATGAATGAGAAATAACTCAATGCCATCCATGGGGATCTGGCCACAGGTCTTGCTGTCCCAGCTTGTACCTACTCTGAGACTACAGTTCATACATATACAGTCCAGGCAAGAAGTCTGGGATAAGTATTTCCAGCTGGTTGGAAAAACAAATGCATTAATCCAGCATATTCTTATACTGTAAGTGATCTTATCTGGATCCTTGCTTAACAAACTGGAAGTTTCAAAGGGTAGGAGAGATGAGCCCATGAAACAAACCCGGATAAAATTTGTTTTGAATAAGGCAAGTGGGTTGATGAGGGGAAACCCAAGTCAGCCATCAAACTTCCCTCAACCTGTTCATGTTCTTTTCAGCTACAAAGAATCCTGGAAAGAGGATGAATTTCTTTTGGGTTATCATTGGAACAGTGAGTTAACACTGTTTCCAGGAGCCTCCCTTTTTCCTAATGTCTTTTTTAAAAAAAGTAATCTAAGTATTAAAACTGTCCTGGCTGGCCAGGAGGTGGCTCATGCCTGTAATCCCAGCACTTTGGGAGGCTGAAGTGGATCACTTGAGGTCAGGAGTTCAAGACCAGCCTGGGCAACATGGTGAAACCTCGTCTCTACAGAAAATATAAAAAACATTAGCTGGGCATGGTGGCAGGTGCCTGTAATCCCAGCTACTCGGGAGGCTGAGGCAGGAGAATTGCTTGAACCCAGGAGGTGGAGGTTGCAGTAAGCCGAGATTGTGCCACTGCACTCCAGCCTAGGGGACAAGAGTGAGACTTCATCTCAAAACAAAAAAAAAAAAACTCCTGGCCTCCAGCTGTATTACATTCTCCATCCTTTAAAGGTTACAAATCTGGAACCATAATTTTCCTGCAGGTCTTATACCAGACTAACTCTAACCAAGAATAATTTTAAAAATAAAATATAATAAATATAAACCTGCCAAAGAATCTTAGGAAAGTCCTAAGAGCTGGGCCCGGTGGCTCATGCCTATAATCCCAGCACTTTGGGAGGCTGAGGTGGGTGGATCATTTGAAGTTGGAAGTTCGAGACCATCCTGACCAACATGGAGAAACCCCATCTCTACTAAAATACAAAATTAGCTGGGTGTGGTGGCACATGCCCATAATCCCAGCTACTTGGGAGGCTGAGGCAGGAGAATTGCTTAAACCCAGGCAGTGGAGGTTGCAGTGCCGAAACTGCGCCACTGCACTCTAGCCTGGGCAATGAGCGACATTCCATCTCAAAAAAAAAAAAATTCAGACAAGAAATCGTGTGTGAAAGAAAGAAAGAAAGAAGGAAAGAGAGAGAGAGAGAAAGAAAGAAAGAAAGAAAGAAAGAAAGAAAGAAAGAAAGAAAGAAAGAAAGAAGAGGGGAGGGGAGGGGAGGGGAGGGGAGGGGAGGGGAGGGGAGGGGGGAGGGGAGGGGAGGGGAGGAGGAAGGAAGGAAGGGAGAGAGAGAGAGAGAGAGAGAGAGAGAGAGAGAGAGAGAAATAAATAAATAAATAAATAAATAAATAAATAAATCAATCAATCATGTGTGTACAGAGCCTGGGTATGTGATTTGGATGGATTAATCTCCTTCAACTCAGATTTCTCCAAAGGCCTGATGATACTCCAGCCATAGGCAGAGCTGTCAATGTTGCTGCCATGGGCTAGAGACAAGTTTATATCATTCTGAAGAGGGGAGAGACATCAGAGGACTATAAGCATGGCTCTGTATGCACCAAATTTTTCTAAATACTTGGAAGGAAAAGTGAAGTCCTTGTAGTCTCTTTATCCGCCACACAAACTCCAGCTCGAAGTCAAGGAGGAAGGCATAGAGGGCCCTTCCAGCCCCTTTAAACTAGCTGAGTTAGAGGGGACAAACAGAATAACTTTCGGTCCTCCCGAAGGAGAGGTTATTTTCTCATTGATCACTCTAGGACAGCTCTCAATTGAGAGTGTAATGCTTTGGAACATACCCATAGGACATCAGGGACTAAAAAAAAGTGAATTATAAAAATAAATCTACTTTCATTGTGGGATCAGGTCCTTACCAGACACCAAATCTGCCAGTACCTTAATCTTGGACTTTCTAGTATCCAGAACTCTAAGAAATAAACTTCTGTTCTTTATAAAAAATAAAAATAAATAAATAAATCTACTTTTACTTAATATCTACTCTCCTGTTCAAACATTCAAACACAAATACATGGGGCACCTACAAAGCAAACCAGAACACGATGATTACAACCTGGAAGAGAAAAGCAAAGAGAGAGTTTTGATGGATAGGAACCTCAGGTAACACACTGGAACAAGTAGTGACACTTAAAGGAGGAATTTGACATTCAATTAACCCTCATGCAAGTGCCACATGTGTTGATCTCAGAGGTTTTCTATCTACTTACCTACGGGCAGGAACAAAGGAAAAGTGAGCAGGTACATTTGGAGAGAAATTCCGAGGGCTGTCCAAAGGACTGTTACCTGTGGGTGGGAAAGAAAATAAAACTGTGAGGCTTGCTTCTGAGGAGAGCTGACATGACCTTCAGGCAAGAAATCTTCCCCTAGCACTGGCAATTAGTATATATGGTTATTTTCTCAGGCCCACTATCAGTTTAATGAGTCTCTTTACGTAAAAGTTTCATAGCCCAGGTTTTCTCCCTTGTTCCCAAGTTTCCTATAACAACCCATGTCTCTCAGACATCCATTCTAGATCTAGCAGCAACTTGACTATTTCCTGCCCTCCTAGGAACACACCTGAGACTTCAATCTGTCTTGTCAAGTGAGCCAACATTCAGAAGGCTTAATGAGTTCATTCAGTATAGAAGGTAGAGCCAAATGTTCATGCTTTCTCAAAGGGCAATAGGACCCCTAATCCAACAGTTTCTTGCATATATATTTCTGCAGTGTATCCAAAGGCTAAACCAGGAACATGTGTGCTTTAAGAGGAAAGAGAGGTTCTCAGGTAGGGACTCAGGATAGTAGTAACCCTTAAGATAGTTCATAATCAAGGCCCCCAACTCTACAAAGCAAACCATCATTTCTTACTAGTTTTCATGTGTCCCCTGTAACTTGCTAACTTAAAGCTCAGAAGCTTTGAACCAAACTCTAAGTTTACCTTTGTACTAATCCCAACAGTTCTTAAACCTAAGCCTGCCATACTTCTCTGGGCTATCTTCTAGCTGGGGGCTGGTGCATAGGAGCCCCTAGCTGACAGAAGTTGTTCATATGACTCTACTCAAAAGGCCATGTTGAAGTAAGCACCATACTCCATGCTGTGCTGGCAACCCTCTAGCCCCTGTCCACCTTCTCACTTCTGTGCTTACCTCCCAGGGGCCTGGTACTTCAACATGCCCTGGCTTTTTCTTGGAGAGTATCACAGGGTAGGGATGTTCCAAGGTGCCCAAAACCTACCCCTTTGTTTCCCATTATCTCTATCCAATAGGGCTTATATAGCACTTAATGTCTTTTTATACTGATCTAGTAGAAACCAGTCTCTCAATCAGTGCCCCTACTACCCTATGCAGCACTTCTGTATCAATTATATAATGGCATTGTTTTTAGTTGAAATAATTAGAAAGAGGCATTTGCAGCTTGCTCTCACCACCAGGTGCATAAAATACACAACTTCATCCAGTGAATCTGCTCTCAACTTTGCATGATCTCTGGGTTTTTCATGCTCTGTGTTAGGGTTATCGGTTATGACCTCTTCCCATCTTCTGGCTAGTGGGCACCAGGATCTAAAGGAAGTGATCCTGAGTAGCTACTTCCTTAGCCAGGAGTTAATTAGGATCAGGGCTCCTCAGAAGCATCAACGCTTTTTTTTTTTTTTCTTTTCTGATAGTGTCATCTCATGCAAAGATTAACAAATACCCATAGTTTGATTCTTGGCATACAAAGTCAGATGCTGTTTACTGGTACTCAAAACTACCCAGCTAAAGCCTCAAGGAGATGCCTGGACAGGAACATCCGACAATGACTAGCATTCCAAGGACTGGGCTGGTTACAGAGGTACAACGAATCTTCCAGGTACTCACAGCAGACCTAGGGTTATGTAACACACACATATGTCAGAAATAACTAACACCAAGAGGGAAAAAAAAAGTGGCAAAAACTAAACAGCACCACTGAGCTGTAGGACTTCAAGCAGAGGGAGGGGAAAGTGGGGGATACAGAAAAAAAGAGAGGAAGAAATAATAGCTGACAATTTTGCAAATTTGATAAAAAGCATATACCTATATGCTGTGTGACAGGTCCTTTACCAGATTACTTAAGGGTGTGTATGTTCACTGCCTGAAACCTGAAGGCTAGGCCATGGCAATGGTACCCAGCTGAGGAGTAGGTATCCCTGAGAACAAACCAAACATCCCAGAGAATATCTGAGAACCTCCCAAGAAAAACAGTCTCACTGTTCAAACACAGTAGACAAAGATCCAGGAAATTAGCTTAAAAGCAGTTTAGAGGGAGCCGGGCAGATGCCTGTCATCCCAGTTTGGGAGGCTGAGGGGGTAGGATTGCTTGAGTCCAGGAGTCTGAGACCAACCTGGGCAATATGGTGAACACCCCATGTCTATAAAAAAATAGTAATTAAAAAAAAAAAGCAGTTTAGAGACAGGAAGCAGCATGGATCTCTAGAGCTGTCCTGCTGTCGTCCAGGAGTGCCCTGTATTTAAGTTGAATAAACTCATCTACTCATCAAGCTGAACTTGTCTGAGTCATTCTTTGGTCTCATGGCTCCTTCCCAGTTTAGGTGGGACATTTACAGTCCCAAGTTTTTCTTGTAACGTCATAAATCTAAGACTCTCTAAAAACCCCAAACACGAGAAAGAGGAAGAGAACTACATCAAACTACATCATGGTCAAATCGCTCAAAACTTAAACTACAGAGAAAAATCTTAGGAGTGGCTAGAGCTTGGTGGAGCTGGGTGAAGTGAGAAGACAGGGTGAAGTGAGAAGATAATGTTATACAGAGGAACAAAGACAAGGATTATAGCAATTTCTCATTGGAAACAATGCAAGAAGATAGCAGAGCAGTATCTATAAATTATGGAAGATATGGCTATTCTCCTGCCAACCTAGAATTCTAGACCCAGCTGTTATATAACAAAGAATTTGACTGGTCTTAGCGCCCAGTTCCTGGGAAGGAGCCCCTAAATCCTTGAAATTTCCCAAGTGATAGGAACGCTTTTGTTGTTCATGATGGGGCCCGATACTTTATTCTAATGATATAACTCAGGATGTGGGCTGGTCACACCTGAACGACCAACCATGTGATTAGCAGGTTGGGGCTTTGAGGCATGGTGCAGTGAGTGGTTTACGCCTGTAATCCTAGCACTTTGGGAGTCAGAGGTGGGTGGATCACCTGAGATCAGGGGTTCCAGAACAGCCTGGCCAACACGGTGAAATCCCGTTTTTACTAAAAATTCAAAAGTTAGCTGGGCGTGATGGCGCACACCTGTAATCCTAGCTACCTGGGAGGCTGAGGCAGGAGAACTGCTTGAACCTATGAGGAGGTTGCAGTGAACCAAGATTGTACCATTGAACTCCAGCCTGGGCGACAGAGTGAGACTCTGATTAAAAAAAAGAAAAAGAAAAAGAAAAAAGTGGGTTGGGGCTTTGAGTCTGACATAAACCTGAAGTAGAGAGGAGCTAGAGATTAAGTTCAGTCATGTGGCCAATGAGTCAATCAATTATGCCTATACAATGAAAACTCACTCTGGACACAAAGCTCCTGTGAGCTTCCCTGCTTAATAATTTGTATGTACTGTTATACATCAAGGTGCTAGGAGGGTGATGCATCCTGACTTCATAAGGAGAAGGCACTGGAAGCTTTGCATTTGGGACCCTCCCAGACCTTGTCCTATACATGTCTTCTTTGGCTAGACCTGCTTTTTATCTTTTTTGCCACAATAAAATTGTAAACCTAAGTACAGCGGTTTCCTGAGCTCTGTGAATCATTCTAGTGAATTACTGAACTCAGGAGGTAGTAAGAAACTTCAAATTTGTATCCTTTTGTCAGAAGTATGGGTGACTTGGGAACTCCTAAACTTCTGTTTGGTATCTACAGTGAGGGCAGTTTTGTAGAGGACTGGGACTTTGTAAAGTGTGGCCTAATGAGGCAGTTAGTGTCAAAAGACATTGTATCAGCAAAAAAAAAAAAAAAAAAGTTGTTTTTTTTGTTTGTTTTTTTGAGATGGGAGTCTTGCTTTGTTGCCCAGGCAGGAGTGCAATGTCGTGACCTTGGCTCACTGCAACTTCCACCTTTTGGGTTCAAGTGATTCTCCTGCCTCAGCCTCCGGAGTAACTGGGATTACAGCACACCCCACCATGCCTGATTAATTTTTTGTATTTTTAATAGAGATGGTGTTTTACCATGTTGGCCAGACTGGTCTTGAACTCCTGACCTCAAGTGATCCTCCCACCTCAGCCTCCCAAAGTGCTGGGATTATAGGCATGAGCCCCTGCTCCCGGCCTCAATAAGGATATTTTTTTAAAGACAGAGGTAAAAAAAAAATGCTTTTTCAAACAAAAAAGTTAAATAAAATTCTCAACAGCAAACCACACTAAAAAAAAATGTTTAAAAAATATCCTTTAGGCAGAAGCAAAAGGAAATATGGATCTGCATGAAAGAATGAAGATCAATGGGAAGGTTAACCACATGGAAAAAGATACATGACATTTTCTTATTATTTAAACTTCTTTTTAAAAGCAGTAAATGTTTAAATAAAAATAACAGTGTGGGGTTTACAACACATGAGAATCAAAATTTTGAAAACAACTATATAAAGGCTGGAAGGAGAGAAATGGAAGATTCTTATCCTGTATGTGAAGTGGTATAATATTTGAAGAGTGATATGAGGGATATGTTAAAGACATATACTATAAATACTAATGCAAACACCAAACAATAAAGGGTTATAGCCTATAAGCCAATAAAAGACATAAATGGAATAAGAATACACACTTAACCCCAAATAAAGCAAAAAAGATCAAGGAAGAAGAAAAAAACAGGTGGAGTAACTAGCAAACAAATAGGGAGGTGGTAGACATAAACTACATCAACAACCACATTAAATGTTAATAGTCTAAATGTCCCAATACAATACTGAAGAAGAATAAGGTTAGAGGACTAATATTACCTGACATCAAGACTCACTATAAAGCGATCAAGACAATATGGTACTGGTAGAAGAACAGATACATAAATCAGTAGAACAAAGCAGAGTACCCAGAAACAGATCCATACAAATATAGTCAACTGATATATGACAAAGGAACACCGGCAATTCAATGGAGAAAACTATATTCTCATTGACAAATGGGGCTGAAACAACTGAATGTTAATATGCAAGAAAATGAATCTAAATACAACCCTTTACAAAAATTAACTCAAAATGGGTCATGAAAATGATCTTACTGTAAGATTTACCTAAATGTAAAACACAAAACTATAAAACTTGTAGCTGATAACATCAGAGAAAGTC